GCCATAGGGCAAGCATGCCCGAGTGATATAGTTCTCCTGGCAACGTGTTACCCTCTGTAATAACAGTTTAATGGTGGATGCAAGTTAAAATATGCACATCCTGGGCTGAGCCCGTGGCACACTCGGGAGAGTGCAGTGCTGGGAGCGCAGCAGCACTCCCGCCGCGGGTTCAGATCCTATATAGGGATGACTGGCTGAGCGCGGTGCGGCTGGTCTCAAAAGAGACAAAAAAAAAAATGTACATCTTTAAGATCCAAGTTAAATTGTACACATCTTTAAGAAACCTCTGAAAAAATGGCATCAATCTCAGGCCTAGGTAGACCGGTGCGGGAGATATTTCAGGTCAGACCTCTTCAAATTAGGCTTTCTAAGTAATTAATCCTCCAATCCCTGCTCCTGTGGATACTTGGAAAATGCTCATCAAAAGGCTAAATTAATACGATGAAGCTTCATAGTGTTTTTTTTTCTGCACATTTTATTCTGTTTGGATTTGAAGCTAAAATCCGGATTGTGAGGGGTGCTTTGTGGATTCGAGTACCTAGACTGTCTCTAGAACATCTCTGTTTTATATTTTCCTAGTAGGCCTCAGAGACACAGACGAGAAGTGCATGAAGATGCCCACAAGCAAGGCAGGTATGGCCATAAACGCATGCTCACCGTTCTAAAGATGTTTCTTTCCCACACCTCAACTGTAGAGATTTTCAGCAGCACATCCCCCAGCCCCTCATCGAGGATCGGGAAGCAGAGGGTGGGGGACAAGAGGAAGGGAGCAGAAAAGAAGGTGGGAGGAGGCTCCTGGATCAAGCTGGGTGGGAGGGAGGACGTTGCAGCCACAGAGACTGGTTTTCCTCCTCCTGACATTCCCTGAGCAGCACAGCCGGTCCCAGTTCACAAGTTCTATTTCTTTCTCTGGGCTGCTTCTGCCGCCAGCATGGTAGTTTCCTCACTTTGGAAGGGCGCGTCCTGGACAGCTCAGTAATGGCAATGGTCTCTTCCATTTGTGTGCCACTTTACCATTTGCAGAGTACTCCCACATGCATTACCTCATTTAATCCTCACAGCCCCTGTCCTGCCACAGAGCTTTGCATTTTATCAGTTGGGGAAACCAAGTGTCAGGTAAATAAAACACGTTGCCTACAGGCATGTAGCAGGCAGTTTCAGAATGCAGGTCAGAGCCCCATTTTTCTGTCTGCCAGCCACATCCCCCTGTCTGCCAGCCACATCACCCCCAATGCTAATGCGTTTCTTGGGACAGAAGATAGTGAAGGACTTAAAGGAGGACTGAGCTAGTTAAGAGGGAGGACACTATATGGAGGAGGAAATGCATCTGGGAGGAGTTTCTCCTAGTGCTGTCTCCTGACCAGTAGCACCAGCAGCCTCTGGGACCTTGTTAGAGATGCAAATTCCTGGGCTTCAGCCCAGACCTACTGGATCACAAACTGCAGAGCAAGGAGTGGTTCAAGAACCTAACTTTAACAAGCCCTCCAGGAGATGCTGATGCATGCCAAAGTTTGGGAGCCACTGTACTGGGGAAAGGAAGTGTGTGTCTTGGTCCCCTGGAGAGGACACAGGCCTGATGTCAGCATAAGGAGGAGGTGGGAAGGTAATTCATTATTTCTGTGGGTTCTAAAAATGGTGCTGACTTGTTCAAGGCCATTGCAGCATTGCTTGTAAGAGCAAAACACTGGAAGGAATCCAAATGTCTGCCAGTCGAGACCGGTCACAGGAGCTATGGTGCTTCCATGTAGTGGGACATTGTGCAGCATAAAAAGAATAACAGGCTTGGGATACTCTGATGTGGGAAAGGCACAGTAAATAAAAGAAAAGCAAGATGTAGAAGAGTTTAAATAATATGTCAACTTTGTGTATAAAAAAGGGGAGAACTCGAAATATATATTTGTGTATACTCATATCTACAAGAAACTCTGGGCAGACAGGCAAGAAACCAATAAGCGAAGTATCTGTGGATGGGGGAAAGAGGTGGATGGAGGCAGACTTTTCACTGCATTTCCTTTTTAAAAAAATCATCAAACCCTGCAAATATATCACTTATTTAGAAAAGGTGAAAATAAGTAAAAATGGCTCTAGGTGCAATTCAGAAGCAGCAGCACAGGAAGCTGCCTCCCTCGGAGACAGGATGGTTGGCGCCTGATGGGGGGGAGGGGGGCAGCTCCATCTCCTGGGAGGGCGTGAGGCTCAGCCCACACATAAACGCCCCATCAGCTCCACCCACCCCCTCCAGAGGGGCCAAGGCATTGGGAGAGTTTGAGCTAATTAATAAGACCGGGACCAGCAGTTTCCAGTCCTGTTTATACATTAAAATTATCTGGGAAGGTTTTAAAAATACCAGTCTCTAAGCCTTATTCCCAGACCACCCAAATCAGATACTCTGAAGTGGGGCTTGGGGTATTTTCAAAACTCCTGAATGTTGAGAACCATTGTCTTGGATCTTCTGGGTCAGTATATTCATCCAGAAAGCTGGAGAAAGGAGAAAGGGATACCCAGTAACTTAAAGGAAGAAAAAACACATCCTGTCTGTCACAATCAACTGAGAATGTGAATGGTTTTTTTTATCCGGCTTGGCTAGAATACATGATCAACCTGGTTTTCCCCCCTCGGCAGCCCAGTTCTAAAACGAAGCCCTGACATCACCAAATCGCCTCTGACAAAGTCAGAGCAGCTTCTGAGGATAGATGACCATGATTTCAGCATGAGGCCTGGCTTTGGAGGTATGAGACGTGCACTCTCGCGGGTGTCTTCTTTCTTTGGGTCCTTCTGTCTGTCCATGAGCAGGAAGTCAAGTTAAGGGACCACATGGCCTTGCTCTCCTCTGACCAGGTCTGCCTCAGTTGTGCTTGGTGGACAGGGTACCAAGCCCACTGCATCTTCTGAGCATCTGCCCTGCCTGCCCTGGGCTCTGCTGAGCACATTCTCAGGAGGCAGCTGCTGGTGGGAAGCCAGGCTGGGACACCAGCTGTCCTCAGGCCACTGCTCCTGATGAGGATGGCCCAGGAGCAGCGAGGCCAGCCGCTGGCTGCAGGGAGGGCAAAGGGAGGATAGGGCAGCTGCAGCCCAAGGCTGCCTCCCTAGAATTCTCTGAGACAACAACCTTGGACGAAATTTGTTCTCATCTCGGAGCTGGCAGACGGAACTCTGAGTACATGTCTGAGGGCCGAGTGTGGTCTGCTGGCTTGAATTAAATGAAAATAGCTCAAGAAAATAATGACTTCTTGAAGAACAGCAAAGCCCTCTGAAGCACGGCCTGAAGCCACTGGGTTTCAGCCCTCTTAGTGTCCAGCAGGGTTACATTTATTTCAGGAATCATTCTCATGACTCTTATTTCTTCCAGTTGGCTTTGC